GTAGCTTGCTTCCCCTAGGGATGAATAGCAGTGATTGATATTCTAAATAGGTAACAATCACCTGGGTTGGGGACCAAGACCTTAACCCATCTCTTTCAGGAAAGGTTCCTGACCTATCCCTTACTGAAAATCCATGTTCTGTGTAGGCTTGCTAGGTGACTTGGTTCCCCATTTGATCTCCATTTAATCAATAATACCTAAGCGACTATACTTGTTGTAATCTTATTGGTTGATCATAGTTTTGTCCCACTTCATGTCCACCTTGTGCTTTCCCACTGGGCCAATATTAAATAAGCGACTGTACTTGTAATCTTAGTAGTTGGCTACAGTTTTGTCCCACTTTGTACATGCCTCACCTCATGGCTTTGTCCCATAAAACAACTTTGAGAAGCAGGGTGGGCGGGCCGGGCCACCCACTTTCCAGTTCCCCTTCAGTCTCTCTCAGAAGCTGTCTTTCTCGCTACAAATTCTTCCTACTCCTAACCTCTGTCGTTCCTAGAATTCATTACATGAACTCGTATTTTGGATATCTAGCAGGTTTGGGAGTTACATCTATTCCCTCCATATCACCCAGACTGCGCCAAATAATTCTCAGGACCCTGAAGGTAGAATTTCTTGTGGCCTCCTATGAGATGTGGATGGCATAAAAGAGAGGAGACACCAAGAGAAGAAGCCTGCTATTGTGACTCCACAGGGCAACCCAACCTTCGTCTCCCTTTCATTTTTGCTTTTATCCTTTCCTCTCTTTGTTCGGCCCAAGTTCACTCTGCAGAGTAGTTCTTCGTATGACCCTTCACCCATTTTTCAAATAAACTTTTGGCATCTTTTTTCGCTTGTCTTGTCTAATTTTTTGTTCAAAACAAGAAGGACCTGAAATGCTTTTAACTGGCAGCCATTTCGAAAGGAATTACACTCCAACAGTTAAGGTGTTTGGACTTTCCGTGACAGGAGGGATAGCCTTGTCAGGGTGGGAAAGTGACAGCTGGAGAACGTTCGGAGGGGTGGTACAGGCCTTATTAACCAGAGGGCAGAAAAATATCTTTAAGTACTTTTGGGTTTTAGCCAAGGTACTACCAAAATGAGTGTTTTTGTTGGTTTGGTTTGGTACTAGGGCTGGAATGCAGGCCTGGCATAGGCCAGGCAAATTCTCTGTAACTGGGCTACATCTTCAACCCTTTTAAAAAATCTTATTTTGAGAGTCTTGCTAAGTTTCCCAGGCTGGCCTTGAACTTGGAATTCTCAGCCTCCGGAGTAGCTGGGATTACAGGACAGAATTGTTTTGTTTTGTTTGTTGGATACCAGTTAGAAGGCCTAAGGCAACACCCCTGCTTAGGACAGGTGGCTGGGTGCCAGGTGAGATTAGGAAGGTAGGAGAAAATGCAAGGACCTGGTAGTAGACTGGGGCGGGGTCCTTATAAGGTTGACACTTGAAATCTTACCGGTCCGGGTTTAAAAGTGAACTGGAACTTTTAAAAAATGCGTTTTTGCAGATATTTACAACTAGCTAAAATGAGACAGAAACCCTTCCTTGTATTTATCCCACTCTTGACGCCCCACAGCTAGTGCAGGGGACAGAGGGAAAAGTCAACTTTAGGATGAATAAGAGTGGTACCTTCAACGTCATGGGCAAAGATTTTCAAAGTCCAACAGTAGTTAAAACAGCACTCTATAAATGATGCTCAACTAAGTCTCTCCGTTTGCGATTTTCCTTCAGTCAAACTCATCTGAGGAGCACAAGGACCCAACTCGGAAGCGCAAGGACTCAGCGGACTCTGCCCTTCACCCTTAGCTAGGCCCTTCCGCTTTCCCGCCAAGTTCCGGGCGCCAACGCGGCCCCGCCCCCTCCCTTCGGCGCACGCTCGCGGCCCCGCCCCTGGGTCTCGCCCTGGACTTTCAGCGCCTCTGAGCCGCCGACCCCTCCCCCAGGTGTCCCGCTGGCCCAGACGCCGGAACCGCTCGGCCGGGTCGGGTGGGTGCCCGCGCGGTGTCCGACGTTGCCGGAGTCCGCCCGCTTCCCGCCTTCCCAGGAGCCGTCGTCGCGACGGCGGGGCGATGCCAGGCAGCCGGCAGCCGAGGGTGCACTCCGGGAACCTGCCGCGCCCCGCGCCCACCATGGAGCAGCCAGCTGGCGGCGGAGCCTGGGCCCACAGCCGCGCCGCGCTTGTCCGCCTGGAGCAGCTGCTGCGCTGCTCGCGCTGGTGAGCTCGGGCCGGGCGAGGGGTGGCGAGTGTCTCGGGGCCGGGGTCTTCTCTTTCCACACCCCGCCGCCTGCCTTCTGGCCTGCGGGCAGCGGGTACCTGCCCGGCGATCCACCGTTAGCTGTCCCCTCCCCGTCACCACCTTTCCCGCAGCTTTTCCCGCCTCTCGCTTTAAACCAAACTCAAACGGTAGTTCTGGAACTTTGGCTGCGGAGCCGCCTAGGGGCGTGGCCGAGGCGCGCGCCGGCTCCGCCTCCGCGCTCGCCCCCCCCGCCGAGAGTGGGGCTCAGGCTTCCGCGTTTCAGCGCGGCTGCCAGGGGTGCGCTGCGCGGCAGCAGGTCGCGGCCGACCTGTGCTGGACTGGCCGACTTGACATTTTCCTGGTATCATCTTTTGGGATTGGAGGGATGAAGTGTTAGAGACCCTTGTTAGGGGTAAATAAAAGATGTCAGGGTGTTGGACACTGCTATTCTGTTTTTCATTTCCTTGTTTTGGTTCAAAGACTGACCAAGGGGAATAGGAATGTGACTCTGTGATGGAGTGCCTGCCTCGCTAGCGTGCGCACAGTCCTGGGTTGGATCCCCAGCACCAAAACAAAACAAAAACCCCAAACCGACTGGTGGCGCATGCCTAATCCCAGCACTCTGGGAGGCTGAGACAGGAGGGTCTTACATTCGAGCCCCAGCCCGGGCAGTTAATAGACTTTGGAAGACACTATCTCACAATAAAAAGGGGTGGGTATGTTTCTTAGCACTGGAGCGCTCCTGGGTGATCCCCAGGACCCCCCCCCCCCCGCCCCCTTAAAAAAAGATTATCCAGAGCTTCTAGTGCTCCGCCGCTGGGATACATCTGTAGCCTCCTCAGGGTTTTATTCCATTAGAAGATATTATTACTATTATTATTTTGTTACTGGGAATTGAACTCAGTACCTTGGCGCTTGCGAGGCAGGCCGCGGAACCACTGAGCTAAATCCCGGGCCTAGAAGACATTATTATCACGAGTGGTACTTTTTCCTTATTTTCCTGTAGCTTTTCCTTGTATAGAATCCAAGGTTTATAAAATTCAACAGAGACCTTTGTTTTCATTTGTTCTGAAAGCATTTAATGAGCACCTGTTGCATGCACAGCTCAGTGTTTCTGCCTGGAGATCATTCTGGTGGGTTTTATTTTTCTTGTAACTGTCACAATTATATTCCCCTTTTGGACTTGGTTTTGATTTTTTTACCCAATTTTCAACTTGCAGTTCCTACTTTGTTATTCAGCAGCTTTTTCTTTGGAAGGATTTAACTGTCGCCAAGTTACATTACACCAAGTTGCAGTTACATTTTGTTTCACAAAAACTTCCTGTTTGACAAACCAGCATCATTACACTGCTTGGGAAAAGTGATATTTTTGTTAGAATGAGTACATTGTGAGTTGTGTGTATGTTTTTCCAGAGCACATGGATTATCCATCTGAGAATAAAAAAATTAAAATTGGCTCTTCTAGTTTCAGTAACACAATAGTAGTTCACACTTTAGTGGTTCAACAAAAGTTAGACATTCAGATGGTGGCATATTTCTATACAGAAACTGTTTCACTCTGACTATAGTCAGACTGCCTGAGTTGAGGTGCCAGCTTTGATACTGTTGAATGGTTCAAGTCATTCTTTTTGTGTCTCTGTAATTATTAGCTCATTCTCCTGGGTGAACTTATTAATGATAAATTTATTGAGCACCTACAAAGTGCCAGACCCTGTTCTGGCTATAGGGGAATTGTTTGTGAAGAAAGCAGACAGAAAGCCCAGCCTTTATAGAGGTTTTTTTTACACACACACACATTTTTTTTTTTGTACCGGGGATCAAACTCAGGTCCTTGTGCTTGTGAGGCAGGCCAGGTGCCACTGAGCTAAATCCCTGGCCCAAGAGTTTATATTCTATGGGAGGGAAAAAATTAAATGAAAGTATACATGTAAATTATTGGTGTGATTGTCATAGAATAAATGATAACTGATAGGTGTCGTAAAAATACAAAAAGATGTGGTCTCTGCTTACTGAATGATTTGGAAGAGACCAGCAAATCTATATAAATAATTTATAGATTATCCTAAAATCTAACAAAGCCAGTTTCACTTTTTAATTACTTCCCAAATGTTTTTTTACCTTCTAAGTGTAGTGAGTTTGATAGTAAGAGCCAAAAGACTTGAGGGTAGACAGGTAAGTAGCCCATACTTTAAATTTATCTCATCTAGGGGCTGGGGATTTAGCTCAGTGGCACCGCACCTGCCTCACAAGGGCAAGGTCCTGAATTCCATCACTGGTACAGCAAAAAAAAAAAAAAAAAAAAAATCTCATCTAGAGAAAAGTATTCAGTGCCAGTGTGTTTGTTTTAGTTTATGAACCACTGATGGATGAACTAAATTTTAACCATTTGTTAGAATGTACATTTTACATTTATGCTTTGCAGGGCACAAATAGTTTTGTTTTTTTTTTTAAATATCCCTTAAAAATATAAAAACTTGTTTGCTTAAGGGCTGTATGCAAAGAGCCTGCTGGATTGATTTGGCCCACAGGCTATAGGTTGCCAAACTTACTTTTAACAGGAAAAATGTCTTAAGTTTAATAATACTTTTGATGTGAAGTTTTATGACAGGATTTAATATGTAGAAATGCTTTTGCTCTCATCTCATTGTCTTTGCAAGTTTGGCATTACCTGTAGTGAATAAAGCATGGCCAGTTGCACCTTTTATTTACCCCAAAAGAAAAATACATTCTTTCTCAACTCTGCTTTGCCCTCATAATTACCTGACATCTTTGCTGGAAAGAGACAGTTTAGTAAGGTCTGCTTCTTGCTTGCTTCCCACCAGTTAAAGTAGTGTCATATTACTTGAAATTTTGTCAGTACGTCCTTTTACAGAGTTTGAAAGTTCTACCCAGTGGGCTAGTGATTACCCCGATTACCCTCACATTCAGCTCGCAGCTGTCATCTATCTGGTATTCCCAGCTGTCACCTGTCTTGTGTAGCACATTGGATCTGTTTTGCAGCAAGCGTTCCTTGCTGGCAAGGGTAGGTTGGCTACAATACAGGGCATCCTTTCTTGACCTTTAATATGACTATGGCTTCAAGGTGAAGCTGATGAAAGTGTTCAAAAGGCCAGATATGACATTTGTGTTAGGGCCAAGCCTTACAACCAGATAGAAAGAAGCTATTTAAAGATTTGGAAAAATTAGGCCGGAAGACCTTACTATTTGAGAGGTTGGCAGAAAGCACAGTAATAATGTATTTCTAAAGGAAGCAGGAAATGATAATAGGAGCAGCCCTATAAAAGCCCTGGGTGTCATATGATAATGGTTTGTGAATTAAAATAGTTAGGAACCTCTTGGATTCTTTTTGGGGTGGGGGCATCTGTGACAACTGTATTTTGGGCTTTTAAAATCACTTTTAGTAAAAGTAAACCTTAGAACTTTTAGAGTACTTGAACCACACTACACCACACCCACCACCACACCCTGGTTCTTTGAGGCAGCACAGTTTAGAGATTAAGAATGGATGCTGGAATCAGACTCCCAGCTTCACATCCTGGATCATTGATTTGGGGCATGTTGTCTGATCTCTGCGTGCTTCCTTTATCTGCAAAGTGACCTAGTCGGAGCTTCTGCATTGCTAGGTTGTTATAATTAAATGAGTTTTTTAAACAAGATTCTTAGAGTCTTGCCTGTTACCTAGTAAATGCTAGTTAATGTTTGTAAAATAAAGGATGGCCAAGAGTGGTGGTGCACGCCTATAATCCCAGTGCTCAGAGGCTGAAGCAGGAGGATTGCTGTGAGTTCAAGGCCAACCTGAGCTGCTAAGCCAGACCCTGTCTCAAAAAAAAAGGGATGGTTTTCCTGACCCCAGCATTCAGCTTTTGCTATTCTTGCAGGAGCTTTCAATGTCAAAAGCATTGTTATAGGCCAGTGGTCCTCACATGGTGTGATTGCTCCCTTTGGTTTGCTATGGCACTGGTTATTCATTAGGACAAGAAACAGCTGAGGCTGTGTATTAGTGGTGCTGCGGTGCACTTTTCACCTTAAAGAGTGTATGCTTAAAGGGCAAAATGTGTATATCATTTCAGGGTGAATTTTGGAGAAAGCCAGGGTGGGTATGGAGAAGAGAACTTGGGTGGGTCCAGGGAGGAAAACTTTATGGGATTTTGAGTTGGGCTTTAAAGTACAGATAGATTTTATAAATGGAACCATTGCTAATAGTGTGGAGGGATTATTGCAAATGGTGTTACCTTAATGTGCCTCAGTAAGGAATTGTAGGATAAGCAAGGAATGGGTCAGGTGGACGGAGTTAAGACAGGGTCAGGTTGCTTAGTGGTTAGTAGCCTAAAGTTCAGATGGCTCACATAGTTAACTTCCTAAAAAGAGCAATTAATGTATCTTTCTTGTGTTCTGTGTTCATATCTATAAATGAAAAGAAGAGATTAGTTGGCTTTTAAAGCTTCTTCCAGTTTGCAGATTTCATATTAGTGCCCACTGGATGTAAAACTTTTTATCAAAGTTTAGCATACATACAGAAAAGTTGATGTTCAGCCTTCATCATATCCTCCAAATTAACCTATTTGTGGGGTTTGTTTATATAGTATTTTGAGTGATGTGTCTTTCAGTTATACTATAGTTGTACAGGTTCACATTTTTACAGACACATAGTTTGTTAAATTAATGTATGAAAAAATTTAGGCTAGGTTGGGTCACATTTGCAAAGTGGTGATACCAAAATGGCCTAGTTAGTTCACAAGAATTGCCAGGAATCCTGGGGTTAATTACCTGTACTGAATAGTAACTTAAGTTCTCAGGGCAGATGTAGATGTAGGTCTTATAGGATTTAGAGTAAAACCACCATACACATAGTCCCCTTGTGGGAATTAATAGTACAGGCTGGTTACATAGGTATTATACAAGGTGATGACTGCTGGAGAGAAACTTGCCAGGTGCATGGAACACTTACATTTATTTAATTTAAGCCAGTTAACTAATTTATTATTTTGAGACAGGGTCTTGGTGTGTTTCCCAAACTAATTTTAAGATCTTGCACTCAAGTAATCCTCCTGCCTCAGCCTCCTGAGTGCTGGGATTATGGGTGCTATCATCCTTGCTTAGAGCATCCTTTATACTGTCCACTACCATTTAGGAAATGGCCTTACAGAGGAGAGATTTTAAGATGGCAGTGGAAACTGGAGAGCGACCCGCGTGTACATGGTAATTGAAGGCATGTTTCTGGAGGTGAGGGGAAGAGTAGAATGCCAAGATGTGAATATTGGTACTGAACATTTCATTGTCAGATGGAAGAGGTGAAGCTTTGAAGGATGGGAAGATCAGTTACTTAGATACTGTTTCACATTGGAGGAAAAGGGACAGAAGACAGAATGACCCACACTTTTTGAGTCAGATACACATGACAGTCTCTGTGGCTTATCTAATAGTTTTTCCTATAGGAGGGACTATTAGTCATTAATAGAGTTCTACTGCCCGCTTTACTATTGGGATATTCAACATTTACTGATTCAGGGCCATTAGAAACAATTTAAAAATTTTCCCATGTGATTTACTTGAATCTGGCTTACAGAATAACTGTACAGAACAAGATGCCTCTATGTCATCTGTTCACTTTGTTTATTAAGTACCGTATCTTTAATTTCCTAAAGATAAACATAACAAATTGTTTAATTGACTTGGAGAACCTGTACATTTTCTTGTTAAACATATTGGTCCACAACTTAAAAACCCCTTGAGGATTCTGTAAATTATAAAAATACTGGAGTGGTTGTCTTTACTGATAATAAAGAGCAGATGATGGCTCATGGGAGCTTTGTAATTTAAGATTATCAATTTCTCATGTGCCCTTTAAGAAATTCTCTGTGTTTATATAGGTATTGTAGTCTCAGATAAGAGGGTACTGTACATCAAATAGATGTATCATGGCTTATTTAGCTTTTTCCTTACTTACAAAAATTTAGGGTTTTTTCTCTGTCTTGCTGTAACAAGCAATGGTGGAGTGAATATCTTTGTCGAGTGCCTTTTAACAATTTTTAAAATTTAAAATTACAGATGAACTTAACTGACAAAAATCAGCAGGACAGAGACTGTAGTGAATATGTTTGCCTCATTCCTCATCACCCTTAAAGCCTGTATTCTAGACAGAACACATCTTTTAAAGATAAGCTTTCTTAACTATTACCTTTTAACTTGCTCTATAGAAGATGACGGGATATAAAATTGGTAGTACAAAATGGCTTTCCAAACCACCCAAAAGGTTTATAGCCTGGAAGGGATAAAAAGGAAAGGTGGGCTTGTGGTTCCCTGTCTTCGCCTGCTACACCTTGTATTGTTTTTCCTCTTTGATGTCCTTCTGCCATGCCACCCTGCCTTAAAGCCAGCCAACTGTGGATTTAAACCTCTACACACGTGAGCTGAAGTAAACTTTTCCTTCTTTAACTTTGAATGTTGAGTATTTTCCCTCAGCAATGAGATCTAGACACCTAGATATCTTTAGTTTTGAAGTTTCATTGTTTGCAAGTATCTAGTATACCTGAAACATAAATTGCTGACGGGGGAATAGTTGTGTAAAAAGTTGGGTGCATTTAAAATTTTGATTGACATCACTTATTTGTAAGAAAAATTCTTTTATTCATGGGAATCTTCTCAGCTACGCTGTCTCTGTTCTCAGAAAATACGGCTTTGGGCAGCTTCAGCCCAGCTTAGTGCCACCTCAGCGTAGTTTTTTCTTCTTGGAGCTCTTCCATTGTATGTTATTTTATTTTATTTTATTTTTTATTAGTACATGTTTACAGTTCATAATGATTACATTCATGTGTATAACACATTTTAGAGAAGAATTTAAGGTTTAAGATGTGTATTATATGTCTTTTAAAGTTGGCACTGTTGTGTTGCGCTCCTCTCCCTGCCCTCCATGTGAGCTTGTTGCAGATCATACATGTACTTCTCATTCACGTTTCCCATGTCTTCTCTCATCTGTTACCCACCTCAAAAAATATAGCCTAGTTCACTAATTGGAGTAATTAGTTCTACTGATCAGTTATTCATAGATACTAAGTCACTGCTAATTACATGACAGCATTTGATTGCTAGGGTAGAAGTAGGAGGTTAGGTTTGCTAGGTGAAATAATGAAAAAAATGATAGGAGCAGCATGAGCATTACAAAAGAGATTTTTTTTAACAAAAGAAATCATTTTAATTGCCAGAAATCACAAATCATATTTTTATCACTATATTCTGTATAATGTGGTAGAAAAACCAGATACTGTGAGTTTTTAAAAAGTAATGGCTTTTATAATGTCAGTGCACAGCATTTTCAGTATGTTGGGAATATTGTGGCTCAGTACTCTGTGCTCTTTCTGAAAGCTCAATTTGACTTTAATGTTTGTATTTATTAAAGTGTGCAGTGTGATCCTTTTGATCATTCAAGAAATGTGGAGAACTGTTTTTATTGATAGGTGGTATGTGTGCAGAGGTAATTGGATAATAGTGATGTAAATACCTAAAGGTCCTAGGGTTAGTACAGGAAACCAAGCACAGAAAATGTTCATCTTTTAAAAGCCTTCTCTTACTGCAGTATGTACACTGAGTTTAATGACTTGATGTATGTTTATTAGGAAGTACTGATACCTTCCTAAGACTATCAACGGTTGTAAGATTGTAAGTGTTTTCATGGACAACATTGGGAATATTTTGTTTCTCTTTTTTCTTCAGTCAGTGAATCATCCTTAGTTTTTGGACTGCTACCTTAATGATTTTGTAAACAAGGCAGTCCTTGTTTACACCTCTTATCTTGTTGACACCCTTGCCTTCACTCTAAGAAATGTTCGCATTTGAACAATATTGTGACCATTCTCATTGTAGGTCACATTTTGAGATTTATGATCTTCACTTTAAATTGCTCAGTGAAGATGTGCCTTAGCAGTTAAAAGAAGCCAGCAGTTAATTTTGTCACTAAGCAGTTTAGAGATACTTGAATAAAGTTGTCCTTTCCTTTTTGTAACTTCACAGCAAATACGTTATAAAAAGTGTTATAACTTGTACTGAGATTCATAGTTGCTATTTGGATTCAGCAGTTACATTATGAGAGTGTTTTACCAGGGGAATAACAGCCTTTTAAATGAATATATCATTAATATTTCCAGCTTTGAGAAGGAGAGAAGTATGGTTGTGTACATATTTGGATTTATGAAATGATGAGCGTGAAATGTTTATCTAACAATGACCTAAATTTGACTATTTTCCTTTCATCATTCAGTACTAATATTCTGAGGGAGCCTGTGTGCTTAGGAGGGTGTGAGCACATCTTTTGTAGGTAAGTAATTATGTCTTGATGTATAAAGTGTAACTGCATTTCTTACTAGATAGCAATCATGTGAGGATGTTGATAATAGTATTTCATGTTTGTGTATCTTTCATAGCCTGTAACATACTGTACATTATCTCATTTGGATCCTTATTATTGCCTTAGTTTATAAATAAGAAAAAAATCTCAAGGTAACTTGTCCAAAGTTACAAAGCTTAGTTAAATACCTTTCCTAAATTTGAGGGGGGATTAATGACTTACATAATCCAAATGTATCTTTTTAAAAAGAATCTTCCAGTTTTGAATCTAGATTTTTAAAATTATGAAAGTCTAGTTCTTAGAGTTACTAGTTTCCTAATGCTACCATAGCCGAGTATCAAGGACTGGGTGGTTTAGAACAACAGATACTGTCTTACACTTCCCAAGGCTACAAGTTTAAGGTCGGGTATTGGCAGGGTTTGTTCCTTCTGAAGTCTGAGAGGGAGAATCTGTTCTGTGCCTCTACATAGCTTCTCATGAGTTGCTGGCAATCTCAGCCATTCCTTGGCTTATAGATATATTATCCCTGTCTTTACCTTTGGGTTCATGTGGCATCTTCCTGTGTGCATATTTCTTTCTCTGTCCAAATTTCCATTTTTTATAAGAACACTAGTTCCTGTTAAATAACGGTTCATCTCGTTTTAACTTGATCATCTACAAAGATCCCATTTTCAAATTAAGTCACATTCAGAGTATTGAGTAGCTGACATCAACATATTTTGGGAGGACATAGATTTTAATATTGACAGTATTGGGGTATTTTGAAGTTATGATTTGCCCTCTGCATCTACAATCTCTGTGCCCTGCACTTAACCAACCATGGATCAAAATATTTAAAAATTACATCTGTATGGAACATGGACAGACTTTTCTTGGTATTATTCCCTAAATAACACAGTATAAATGTTTACATTGTATTGGGTATTACAAGTAATCTAGAGATGAGTTAAAGTATATGAGAGAATGTATGTAGGTTATATTCAAATACTGTATCATTTTGTTTAAGGGACTTGAACAGCCATAGATTATGGTGTCCATGGGGTGTAGGGAGATGGGAAAGTCTTAGAACCAATCCCTTGTGGATACTGAGGGATGACTATTTTATATCAATCCCTGATAAAAATAATCTCTGTGGTCTCTTTAAGATATAGTTCATTTAAGGCATGTAGTAGAGATATCAAACTTTGTGATCTCAGACCCCCCTTTTATTTTGGTGGTATAGAGCTTGAACCCAAGGCCTTTGCAGTGAGATCCATCCATAGCCATTCTTTATTTATTTGGAAGAATATTCTCACTAAATTGCCTAAACTGAGCTTAAATTTGTCATCCTCTTGTCTCAGTCTCCCAGAGTGCTAGGATTATAGACATACAGTATCATGCCCAGCTCTCAAGCCATTTTATACTCATCGGAATTGAGGACCATAAAGTGCTGTGTGTGTAAGCATGCAAGTTCTTGCACACGCATTTACCATATAAAACTGAAATTTCTTTAGCCTTCCAGAGTGCTGGGATTACAAGGATGATTACAAGCTGGGTATTGCTTCTTTAATACTACACCAGTACTTGAGAAGTGCTAATTTTTTAGGTTAATTGCAGTGTGGAATCTGAGTATATCAGTAAATTTTATATTGTTATATTAAAATCATTGGTTTATACACTACTTTGAATTGATCTTTGAATTGAGCATGCTTGTATGATACCATACATTGACCTTTTGGAAATTTTAACTGAATGGGTTATGTAGCTCTGCTGAGAAATTATATATTTTTCCAGAATTCTGAACTAATATCTATATAATAGGGGTTCGTTTGGTTTTTTTGGTACTGGGGATCTAACTCAGGACCTCACGTTTGCAAGGCAGGCGGCAGCAACACTGAGCTAAATCCCCAGCCCAGGTTTTGTTGTTTTGAGACAAGGTCTCTCTCTATGAGGCCCAGGCTGCCTTTGAACTTGAGACCATTGTCCTGCCTCAGCCTCCCAAGTTCTGGGATTATAGTCATGCACTATCATGCTTGACCCACTGTATAATAATTTGAGGATAGTTATAAAATAGAATATGGATTGAGCATTCCTAATCCAATAATCTGAAATCCAAAATGCTCTGAAATATGAGACAAAGTTTTTTGAGTACTGACTTGGTGCTGAAAAAGTTTCAGTATTTAGAAACTTTCAGATTTTCAAATTAGGCTCACCTGGTAAAGTATATGCAAATATTCCCAATCCAAAAAGCTCCAAAGTGAAACATTTCTTGTAGGGGATACTCAGCTTGTATGTAAAGCAGACCTAAGTAGTAGTGCAGTGTTGAATAGGTGATTTAACTAACTGGATCTCATTTTCTTCTTCTGAAAATGAGCTGGTGGTTTTCAAGGAATGGATTTCAGATTGTATTTCACTGGTATTCCTTAAATAAGTAATGAACAAGAATTAATTTAAATTGCCTGAGTAATTAGTTTTTATATTTTTTGGTGTGTTGGAATTCCAAGTTAGAGTTCTGTTTTGTTTTGTTCTGTTTGGAGATAGGGTCTCACTTTCTTATCCAGTCTGATCTTGATCTCTTGACTTACATGTTCCTCCTGCCTCACTCAGCCTTCTGAGTAGCTGGAACTATACTCAACATGCCTGACACAAGTTTCAGTGTTCTTTACTATAAGCAGAGACACTCATAGAAGTTCCTTTGCTAAAGAAATTGAACATTTATTGAACTTAATGATCTCAAAGATGTCTCCCAACTCTAGTATTCATTTGCACTTTTTTCTGCATTACTTTGTGTCAGGAATCATGCTAAGAGCCAAGGATACAAAAAGTAGAAATGCCACAGGTTTTGTTTAGGATAGTTCATATAATAAGAATTTTCTGTGCCTACAAATGAATACTTGGAATGAATTAGTTGGGGGAGATGTAGCTTTTACAATTGCTGTGTTCCTCATTCCCATTAGCAACCATCTCTTGAGGATAAGGATGGAGTAGATTTAACAGGATTTTGTTCTGGAATTCAAACGTGTTTCAGGGAAGATTGTGGACTCCCTCCTCGAGAGAGAGAGAGAGAGAGAGAGAGAGAGAGAGAGAGAGAGAGAGAGAGAGAGAGAGAGAATTTGCAAAGTATTTGTAACTATAAATGTTAGGAAAACCTTCTATCCTAACTATGAGACTATAACACTTAGAAAGCCTGAAGTAACTTAGTCTATAGATTATAAACCTGTGTGACTCAAAGATCTTATCTCAAAAACTACTTTAAAACCTTTACACACTAGTCCAAAAACAAAACAAAAGGTACTTTCTTGCTCTCTGCAATGATTTTAAGTATTTCCATGAAATGGAATATTAAGACTAGGAGAGAGGAGGTTAGGATTGCATAGTTACAGTGCATTAGATACTATATCTGTTTACATCTTTCTCTGTACCCTAACTTTTTAGATGGTATGGGTTTGTTTGCAAGAAAAAATTATGCAAACTAATGTCAAGCTAAGTCAAGCCTCAAAGTAGTTTCGTAGCAAATCACGTCAATTTTATATTTAGATTTTATGTGTTTTCATACTTTGTAATCATACTGTTTTAAGTGTTTCACAATTTACCATTATATGTTGGAACAACCTCTACTTTATTTGTTCTTGTTCAGACTATTTATTGCGTAGTTTTTGAAATTCAAATTCTGCTGAATGTATGTGTGTGTGTGTTTTTAAGTGATTGTGTAAGTGACTGCATTGGAACCAGATGTCCAGTATGTTCCACCCCAGCCTGGATCCTAGACGTCAGGATAAACAGACAATTGGACAGCATGATTCAGCTTTATAGTAAGCTTCGAAATTTGCTACACAACGATAAGTTTTCAGGTAAGAAATATTCTTGTCTCTTACTAAATAGTTGATTAATTCATATTGATCACACAAAGAATATAAAAGATCTATCAGCAGTTCTAAGATTTATAGTTTTATTGTTGTTGCTGCTGTTGTTTGACTCAATTTGAGAAGTGACAGGAAATAGAGTTCTCTATTTCATAGACGAGAAACCAAGATTCCGAGCAGTTAAGTGATCTTGCCTAGTCACATTTGTAGTCTGTACCAGAAGCATGAGAAATAGATCTCGTTTCTTTTTTCTTCCTTTCTTTTGAGACAAGCCTGGCATTGAACTCACTGTTTAACCCAGGCTGGCCTCAAACTCATGGTGACCTTCCTGCCTCAGCACAAGTGTAGAAGGCCTTTTTTTGATTGTTAGTCCAGAAACTTTTTCACTACTTTATACTGACTGCTTTTTATAGTTATTCTGATTTCTGTAGAGTATATATGGAATAATGATTTTGTCCTTAAAAGTGCTTAACTCACTTAAATACACTTTTGCAAGATAGAATATAACATTCTTCCCATGGATCACTTTTTTAGACTGAATTAATTAGATGAGCACATTTTGAAAGAGTAAAAAATCTAGTATTCATTTTCTTTTCTATATGAATGGGAGTTAATGTTTTTCAAATTGTTCTTGGACTCTGTATTAACTATGTATCTACCTATTGTGCTTTCTGCTTAGAATTAATTAACTGTGAAAAGAAAGTGAAGTGTTTTGAATTTTTATAACTGGATATTGGAATTTTCTTTTTATTGACCAGATCATGCCATTTTAGCCTGCTTATGGGAGACCCTTTTCTTGCTTGGCAAGATGCCATGAATGATTAATAATACTAACATAAAATTGTTGGATTTCTGTTTCTAAATCTTTTGTTCTTTGAATTCTGAAATGATGTATTACTGTCAATTACTACAGATAAAGTGGATTAAACAAACATTAAATATTTTAAGTCTTATGGAACACAGGACCCTATTTTTAAGAGGAATTTAAAGTGCAGTCTGCCTATGAAAAGTTTCCATCTGCTTAACTGGATCATTATATTAGACTCTATTTTTAAAATGATAGTGTTAAAGTTTACTTATTTTTGGATGTAGTTATACGCACCTTTTAAAAGTATTTTTCAAAATATAATATTGTGGTTATAAACCTCTTACGAACACAATGAAGGAAAGTTTTTTCAGTGTGTTTTCTAGTTGAAAAGATTGGTTAGTAATCTGGCTCCCCTCGCCCCACATGGGTCTGTGGATTAATTTGGGGTTTCTCAATCAAGAGTCATTGCATCTTTGACAGTGTTTCGAGTTGTGCACAGGGCAGGATCAGTGAGCCCATGAGTTAATTGTACGATATGAGCAGTGTTCGTGTCTGTGTGACAGTGGCTTTCATCACATTTGTTTTTTGGTATTGAACTCAGGTCCTTGCGCTTGCGCAGCAGGCAGCAAAACCACTGAGCTAAATCCCTGGCCCTTTCATCACATTTTTAAGGGAGTGTAATTTGCTAGGCTTACAGCCATGCATTGAAATTTGGGGTCCTACTGTGAGATTCTCATATTTTGATTTGACTTTTCTCTAGTTACTGTGTAATACAAACTGGGTGGCTTACACAAAAGGCTAAAAGTCTGAGATCTAGATGTGTATATGATTGGTTCCATCCCCTCTGAGATCTGTGAGGAAGAATCTATTCTAGCCCCATTTGGTGGTTGGCTTGTAATTCAGCTGTCTTCCTGTTCACATGATGATCTCCTTGTACAAGTGTTTGTACCAATTTACCTTTTTTATAAAGTCCCCAGTAATAACGTACAGTGCATCCCCTCAAGTTACAACCATCCTGACTTAGGAGCAACTTGGTTTAATTAGGTTAATGGAAGATTTATCTGCCTCTTGTTATCTGTAGCGTGTGCCCAGGTAAACATCCAGATCTCAGCTATATTGACTTAACAGCCAACTTGAGTTACAGCCAGCTCTCAGGAACCATCGAGTTTGTAAGTCAAGAGTCCACTGTACTAGGGGTCCGCTCCCTTCCTCTACGCACATCATCTTAATTACGTCTGCAATGACCCTGTTTTCAAATAAGGTCACATTTTGAAGTAGTAGGGGTGAGGGCCTCAATGTATAGATTTAGGGAACAAGAGGAGAGACACAATTTAATGCCTAACAAGTAACGTGACATTTTCAATGATGAAAAACTAAAGGTAGAGTAACCTTTACAGGTTAACTGCCATCAATTGTGGCCTGCTGGGTGCCTTGGAGTACAAGGAAGAATAAGATAGACTCTTTTATCAAAAATGGTGCTGTAGTAAGTGATGTTTGAATCATTAATATAGTTTTCATGTAAATACCTTAATATTTCATCATTGAGGAAGATATTTAGCAGAGTGGAGTTTAGAACAAGTTTCTGGGTGGGCCTCTTAGAATACTGTCTTATCTAAGTAGAGGTGAAGTTGGATGAAAGATTTATAGTAATTCATTAATTACCAATTCATCATTTTCCAAAGGGCATTTTGTGTTCATTTTTATTATAATGAGTAAATGGAGGGCCTTCAATTTTATGCCAGCACCACAAAAAGAAAGAAAACAAAAAAGAATAATAACCATTTTAGTACTTACTAGACTATCAGTACTGCCTTCAGCATTATTCCCCCCTTCCCCTCCTGGGACTGAACCTAGGGTCTTGCACTTGCTAGGCAAGCAAACACTCCACCACTAGCTAAGTCCCCAGCCACTCAACATTACTTATTTTAAGATGAATTAGAATTTTAGATAACACATAATTACAATTATAGGAGCTACAGAAGCATCTTTATCATCCCCTTAATCTGTATCTTAAGACATTGAGGACCAAGGTTACACAGGTCAGTTCTGTTGTAATTTTCTTACTTTTTTTTTTTTTTCTCATTTAGAACATATTTTTGAATTGGATAAAGTTGGCAGTGCTGGGACTAATTTATATCCTAGAGACTACACTGAATTAAAATAATTTTAAAGCAGATTTTCAGATTTTGGTTTATATAATTCATTTTATAATTGTAACATCCTTCTTTGCTACCCTGAAAAGAAATGATAATAAATGTAAAGTATGAATACACTGATATATATCTACCGAGATACACTCAGTTCCATGGTAAAAAGCTTTTTCTACTTTAATGTAAATTGTATTGCAGTCAACTTTTTCTCTCACAGTCCTTCCAAAACAAGCCTTGAAGGGTATATAGAATTTCTTTTTCTGAAGCATTTTCCTTTTTTTGAACTCAAGGAGTGCTGAGCTAAGGTCCCTCCTGCCCCTGTGGTTTATTTTTGTTTCGTTTTATTTATTCATTTTTTAAGACAGGCTCTCCTCTGTAGTCAAGGCAGCCTAGAACTCACTGTGTGGCCCAGGCTGGTCATGAACCTGTGATCTTCTTGCCTCAGTTTAGGGGTAGCTGGGATTGCAGGCAAGTGTCACCACACCTAGCCGCCCCTTTTATAGTTTGTCTGTTAGTACATTTGACATGGTGCCTTTGTGTTAGTTCATCTGTTAAGCATTTCCGAAACTAGAGTAGTGTAAGTTACACATATATATTAAATGGTAGATGCAGTTAATAATTGGCAACAAGTGATGGTTGGACCTTTTGTAATGAGGAGATTAGAAAGTGACCTCATTGTAAGGGTGTTTGATTAAGTGATTTCTAAGGTCTATCTCCAAAATTGTATCTCTGTTAAATGATCACCTGTTGAAGATGATGAATTAAATGGAATGGTTGAGCATCTTTCATATTTTCTTTATCTTTTAAAAACGCTTATAGTTCATAATTTATCTTTCAAATGAACCTTGTTACTTGCATTTATTATAAAATATATAATTACTGTAATTAAGGTGGATAATTAAGAACTTGTCAAATCATGGAGATAGTGTATATGTTATAGTGGAGATAAAAGCCTGACTTACAGTAACACTTCCTAAAATGAGCTCCTAAATACTTTGATTTTTCTTGGTTCAGTGTACTTAAAGAGGAGAGATTGTCAGATTTTTTTCTAATGGTTTATAGATAATTTTACCTTATTCTTTATAACATAATCTGCTTTGTACTAATAGAGTTAAATTTAAAAGTTTTTATTTTCTCTTGAACCCTATGAAATTAAATTAGACCTTGCAGGTGCTGGTTCTGTCTTCTGGTTTAGAGAGATACTGGTCTTTCTGAAATGATTACATAGTGTTTCATATATACTTAACTTTTTATAATAGATTAAGATGAGTGAATAGCTGTACTGCTTTTTTTAAAAAAATAGAACTAAATATTACTTAACTTACAAGGTAGTCACTCTTCAGTAAAGATATTAATGTTAGACAGATGATAAGCAAAGTACTTTCATTTTTTAATAAGGGACTAGTTAATCAGAAAGATTTCTCAACTTCTGTTGTGAAACCTATAATAGAAAATAATTTGAAAGGCACACAATGCCCATCATTATCATTTGATGTAGATTAATGATAGTGAAATCACATTTTGTAATTGCTTCTCTTTTTCTATAGTTTATTATTAAATTTTAAGAAAAAACTTGGCTAAGCAGCTCCTTAGTAACGTGCATATCTTTTCCTCGATATTTTGTGTTGTACTCTGAAATATTTAAATTCAGAGAATTAGACTTTTTAAAAATGTTATCATTAAGAAATTTACTATATAGAAGGAAGGCTAATATTTTTCTTCCTGAAATGAATGCAATAATTTATTATACTTAGAAGCATTCATCCATAAGAACCTTTGTAGCTGTTAATAGTATGATTTATATTTTAATGGTAGTATTGTTTTTGTTTTTATAGTTTTGTCTTAGAGATGCTGCATAAAATTCAGAAATTTACAGTCATACTTGCAGTTGTGGGCCTTGCTTATTTACACAAAATTAGATAATTAAAATCTTTTGAGCAAAGTTGTTATTACTGGATTATCAGTAAAATTACTGTGTACATATAAATTACATGAATATTTACTGTCTTCATTTACTTCTTTATCAATTAAGAAATAATGTATACCTGAATATGAAATTTTTGTTCTTTTAGTTTTAGGGTCTTTAGTCAGTTAAGTATGTTATTACTACTTCTAAGCCTTACTTTTCCCTTAAGTGGCCAATTCTGCATTTTGTAAGGGTTATAAATATTGAGGATTTCGGGATTTGAATGGTTCTTAATTGAAAATATTGTCACCTGTTTTGAAAAAATACATTTAAAAAAATCAAATACGAGTTTTTACAGACTTACTGAGGATTAACGTTTAAGTCTTTGTAATCCTGAGTCTTTCTTAAAAAGTAATCTTGGTAACATTGCATTTTGACCTTTTCTCTAGACTTGAGATTATATAAGAAATGGCTTAGTTTTGAAATCTACTTACCACTGCAAAGAAAAAGACCTTCTTGAATTTAGATGTAAAGTCTGTGTGAGTGGATACCTCTTTCAGAACATGATTTCCAAGATTCAGTCTCAGTAACACTGTGGACCAGGTGATGTTCAGCTTGGACTCTCAGTGAAAAATGTTTCACGTTTTGTTCTCTGCTGTACCTCTGATCTCTAGAACACTGTCTGGCACAAAGTAGGAATCAGTAATCATTTGTTGAATGAGAGGCTAAGTGCCTGCTCTCCAATAAGGCCATAGCCTAGAAGTAGAGAAAGAAGTATGCAAATTAAAAGTGACAGACTTTAGTAGAACTACAAACAGAATTCTTTAGGAGCTCCAGATGAGTGAGACTAACCCCTTTAACCATTTACTTCCTTTCCTTCTATCAGATTTGAAAGAAGATGCATCTAGGACAAATTTATTTAATGATGCAGAAAACAAGAAGAATTCAGTAAAAATGTGGTTTAGTCCTCGAAGTAAGAGGGTCAGGTACGTTGTGAGGAAAGTTTCAGTGCAAACCAAGCCTCAGAAGACAAAAGATGAAAATGCTCAGCAAGCCTCAATGTATGAATTTGTTTCTGCAACACCTCCTATGGTTGTTTCTAAGAGAGCTAAAAAAGCTTCTACAACATCTGCAAAAAAGCAACAAAAGAAAACTTTAGCCGAAATCAACCAAGAATGGAATTTAAACAGAGAGAAGGAAGATGATGAACTTGATCTCAAAGAAGAATTTAAGGAAAAGCAGGTATCCTTCTGTAGCCAGCCAGCCATTATTGGTAGTCCAAAAGTAAATGGCGAAATAGACTTACTGGCAAGCGGCTCTGTAACAGAATTGGAAAGTTGTGGAAGCTTAACTGAAGTCTTCCTACCATTGGCTGAGCATATAGAGTCTCCAGACAATGACAACATGATTGAAGTGTCTCCTGAGAAAGCCTGTGAGAATGATCTTACATCCAAGACGTCTTTGCCATTAGGTCATAATGGAAAACGTGGACCTTGCAACAGACTTTCTAGTCCTGTTTCTAAGAAATGCAGAAGCAGCATTCCAAGCACCAGTGGAGATGTTGTTAGGCAAACCGTGCTCTCAGAAAACATAGCATTGCTTGACTGTTCATCACCAGCTTCAGGCACACTTAAAGTTGATGACACATTAAGGAGGGAAAATGATAATGTATCAGATGATTCCATTAGTCTTTCACCATGTACACTACCTTCTACACTGAATAGTTCCAGTTACAGACGACTGATGTCAAGCCCCTCTGCAATGAAGCTGTACCCCCATGGCTTTATGGCCAGGAAAAGAAATCATAGAGGAGAAACTTTACTTCATATTGCTTCTATAAAGGTAGGATGCTTATTCTGATACTCAGAATGAAACTGTGTTAATCAACTTTTTATTACTGTAAAAAAATACCTGAGCATCAACTTACAGAGAGAAAGTTTATTGTAGTCTGGAGTTTTGGAGGCTCTGTTCCATGACTGTTCTCATCACTCTGGGCTTGTGGCAGCATATCATTGGAGTGTATGATGAAACAAAGCCATTCACCTTTTGGCCAGGAAGCAAAAGAGGGAAGAAGGAGAAGGGCTGGGGTCCCTCTGCCCTTCAAGGGCATGGCCCCAGTGACCTGAAGGCCTTCTACCGGGCCCCAGCCCTTAGTATTTCCAATACTACCATTCTGGTGACCATGTCTCCAACACATCAGGCTTTGAGGGACATCGGAGATGAAAATTGTAGTAGAGACCAACTGTGAAGCAGTTTATTTGAGGTTTTTGAGAATTGGCTTAAGATTACTAGGATATCTAACCTACTGCAGATATGATACTTCCACTTCACGGGGACTGCCTGTCTACCTCAGTGCAGTGGCCCCTGGCTCTGGGAAGCAAGATCATGCAGGAGAAAACCAACATTCAATTATTTTGCAGCTCCTTTGCCAAGTGCTTTTGCCTCTGTTTTTGTTCAGTAATCATTTTTGTTTACCCTTTCTTTGCGTGAAAAATGAATATAGATAAATGCTAAGTTACTGTGGCAACATATTTTTACCTATCAGAAGAGCTAGAGGGGATGAACTTCTATCTCTGCTTGACGCTCCCTGTAGGCATGCCCTGTATCTGGAAGGGTAAAAGATGCAGTGTGTGGATCTCCAATGACCTAGCCATTTCACCATCAGAAATATCTCCTGCAGTTTGACACAGAGCTGCTGCTAGTCCTGTGCCTCCCAGTCAGCTGTTTCTTTTACTGCCCTGTTTACTGAAGTTAATTCTCTTTAATTATTGCTTCAGCACCTGAATGATGCTGTCATTCTCTGGAACTTGGCCTGTTTTCTGAGCAGGAGGCCCACTTGTAGTGATTAGTCTTTGCAGTTGACACAGTACTACCAGTAAAAGGGAGTGGGAACCAGCACGGCCTTTTAGACTGCTCCTCAGTTTGTGCCAGAGTTAGGAAAGTATCATGTATCACTTAGTACTATATTAGTGTAACTTTTATGTTCTTTTGTGACTTTGCACGATAAATTCACCCTGAAAATTTCTGGGGGTTTGAATGGATAGAAAACTGTAAGATTTGGAAGGAAGGAACTCTTTGGAGGCCCCTAAATGTGAGGCTGGCAGGGCAGCATAAAGAGAACATGCAGTAGACGTTGAGTGTGGTCCATTGGTTTCTCTGTTTTGTGTGGAGAAAAGGAAACGCACAAAAATGAGCACCTCCCCAAAATTAGTGGCTTTTTCCCTCTTGCTTTTATTCCAAATTAATATAGTGAACTCTAGTACTGATGCCAGTTGGAAGAGGGGAGAACTTACCACTGACCATGCCAAGGGTCTCATGAAAGATCCTTGGACAACTCAAGTTGTTGAAGTCGGCTCTGGTTATATTTTAGTGTGATTTCTGCAAAGCATGACTTAGAAGGCAGTCTTTTTTGTCATCTTTGGATATACACATACATACATAGGAATGTGTTCACAAACTATTTTAATCTTACGATGTTCTTAATACCTTTACAGACATAAGTAGTGTGATATTTAATATTTAATTTAGTATTTAGTTTAGTTTTCTTTCTGGAAATTTTTATACCATTAGGCAAACATCCACTTAGGTTAGTAGGGGATTTTTTCTTGCAACTATAAAAATAATCTTATCTTTTTAAATGAGGATTTCTAGACCAAGAGATGGAGAGAGGGAAGAGGGATGGGGAGAAATGAAAAGAAGAATTAAGATGTGTTTTATAAATGTACCAACTCCCCATGATGATTGTAGTCATTTATTGCAAACTTGTACTAATAAAAATTAGAATTAAAAATAAATGACGGGCCGGGGATTTAGCTTAGTGGCACCACTCTTGCCTTGCAAGCGCAAGGTCCTGAGTTCAATCCCCGGTACAAAAAAAATAAAAATAAATGAGGAACTCTAGAGCCTAGAGTTTAGGCCAGGGTTTGGTAGACTCTCTCTAAAGGATGTGGTTAACTATTCAGCTTTGCAGGGCAGACAGTGTGTATCAAAACTGTTCATTTCTTATATCCTAGATCAAAAATAGCAATATATAAACCATTAGAACTTTGCATAAAAATCAGTGGCTGGTCCAAGGGCCACAGTTTGTGTTTTCTTGGTCTAGGCATGGGAAAAAAGCTGCAATAGAATATTAAAACAGGAAAAATAGTGGCATGATGTTGTCTTGGGGGATTTTCTTCATTGATCTACTCATGACTGCTTCCTACAAGTTTTATCAGATTGTCAGTTTACTTAAAAGGCTTGCCAGAATTACGGTTACCCAGTTTGAGCCAGGTGGTGGCACATGGCTCTAATCCCAGTATTCTAGGAGGCTAAAACAGGAGGATCACAGGTTTTAGTCCAGCCAGGAAAATTGAATGACTTAGTGAGACCCTGTCCCAAAATTCTAAAAAGGGTTGAGCTCAATATGAAGGCTCTAGGTTCAATCCCCCAGTACTACACACACACACACACACACACACACACACACACACGCACACAATTGTTCCTTTAAACTTCATTATCAAACACTATTTTCTTCATCATCTGGAAGATTCTGGTAGAGTACATTTAGAAAATCTCATTGATTTCTATTGCTTTTAAATCATGAATTAACAATAGTGTCCCTTTTAAAAAATTTTTGTGAGCTGAATCAAACCTGTTTGATTTTTGTCATACAAATGTTGAGAATACCATCACCATCGACAGCAAAACCCAAAAAATAAAGCAACAGTGGATTTGTCAGTACTATGTTACTATCATTTTACAAATAATTTTCATCTTAGTCTTATCCTAATTTTCTCATTTGTAGCTACGAATGAATAATCTGGATGTGCTACAAAACAAATACTGTGATTCTATTATTTCATGTGTTTTGTAACACACCTTCAGTTAAAGGAGTTTGGAAAGGCTTTAAAGTTGAAGCTACCATAAAATCGGACAAGAAGCAAAGAAAGCAGAAGTACTATGGCATAATGAAGTTAGATTTGGTGACCTTTACAGTAGCCAAAGAAAATAAGAGGAAGTACCAAGTGTTTTGCTGTCAAAAAATAAGATTTTTCTTGGTGGTGGTTGTTGTTACAGTCATTTTTTCCTGAAGCAGATTGGTAGACTTCCAGTTTCCATAGTTCTATTTGTTCCTTTTGAGTTTCAGGAGGCACCATTGTTGCCCTGTCCATGCTTGGGCTGTACACTGAGGCAGAGTGCAGCAGTAGTTTTTTTCTTCTCTTTGTGGGGTTAGCTTCTCCTGCTGTAGGTTGGGCTTTCCCAACTGGTTCCTGAACCTGGAAGTTTTATTACTAACATTCTTTAACATCTTCTCCAAACTTACCTGGAGCTGTCATTGTTGACCATAATCTTTCCATATCTACTACCCTAGTGACCACTGCTTAAACACTCTGCTAGTTTTCTGTTGCTTCCAGAACAAACCACCACAGGCTTAGTGATTTAAAGTATGCAAATTAATTTTTTTATGGTTTTATAGGTCAGAAGTCTGGCATGAGTTTCTTTAGGCTGAAATCAGTCTGTCATCAGTTAGTTTCAGCAGGCTGTAGGGGAGGATCAGTTTTCCTGCTCATTTGGGTGCTTGGCAGGCACAGAATAGTTCTTGTGGTAGGATGGAGATTCTGGTTTGTTGCTTTGAAGGTTCTAGAGACTGTCATATTCCTTATTTGGTGGTCCTCTTTTTGTTTTTGTTTGTTTTTTGAGACAGGATCTTACTGTGCAGTTTAGGCTGACCTTGAACTCACTGTGTAGCACAGGCTAGCCTCAAGCTCACTGTGATCCTCCTGCCTCAGCCTCCAGAGGTGCTGGGATTGCCAGCCTATGCCACTATATCTGGCTGGTAACCCTGTTCCTTTATCTTCAAATCCAGCAATAGCAGCTTGAGTCCTTCTCATATCCCAGTTTGACATACAGGGAAGGTTCTCTGCTTTTAAAGATTCACGTGATTAGATTGGAGACTACCTGAACAGCACAGCATCATCTTCCCATTACTTTGTGCCCTGAATCATGCTGCAGAGTTCCTTTTGCCATGTAAGCGGACATACTCACAGGTTCTGGGGATTCAGATGTGGTCATTTTGGGGGACCACACCACTGATGTCACTTCCAAATATCTCAACCTACTTTCCTGTTGAACTTCTAGAATCCTGTTCTCTATATGTCAGCCGGAGTGTTTAGACTCAAAGCAGAACTTGACAATTCTCCACTCCCACCCCAGTCTGTAACTTTCTATGCCCCTATTCTTATTCAAGTATCTATAACCTATGTTCCTGTTTGAATATCTGTTGTAGTTAAAATGCTATTGAGAACGTCTTATGAGTTTAATCAGAAAGCACTGTAAGTAGAAAGTAAGATAAACATGTTTATTTTTCTAATTTAATAAAAAACAAATAAGACTTTTCTCTTTTCTATTATGTTACCATTGTTTGAGAGTTTCTAGGTGCTGGAATTCCCCTCCCCTAATTTCCCTGGAACAAATTCTTAACGTGACAATGAATGCTTGTAACTCATGCCACAGTTGTGAACTCACTGTGAAGTAGAATGGCCTGTATAGAATGTGCCATGATGTGTTTGTGATATAGACATAATCGATTATCTTGTGAAGGCAACTTAAGGTAAGTTCTCTTAAAATACAACAAAGGTGGTGAAGATCTCCTGGGAAGACAGAAAATCCCTTGTGAGGTTCTCCTTCGGAGCTTGACTTTGTAATTCATTATCCTTAAGGCAGTCATGTTATTATGTGTCCTTTATACTAGCTTTACAAGAAAGTAGCAAAGGCCACAAAAGCAAACTGGCATGTGTGTATGTTCAAGATTTTAATTTCTGGAACACTCCATGGAGCAAGTACAGTATCTAGCTTTTTCAGTCACCCGCACCCATGTAGAGGTCTCCTTTGGTAATACCAGTAACTTATTGTAATGTTGGCTGGGTAGTGTTAGAATCATTTACAAAATTATTTTGCTCAGCAAATTCTGACTAAGAGGTTGAATATATTTTAGAGCTCTTCCAGGAGGGAGGGAGGGAGGGAGGGAGAGAGAGAGATAGTATTTTGTGTATTTAAAACATTTGATTGCTAAAAGGGGGAAATTGTAGCTACTTGGTTATGCTGGGTAAGTCATTTTCATTGTACTTAATTGTAATGTTCTATATTGTTTTTTATGAAGATTTTTATTAATATTTTAAAAGAGCTAATTTTTATAAGGAAAAAATTGTGTGATTTTGGAAAGTTAATTTATATTTTGGGATATGCAGGTATCTGCAATATGTGAGAATGTATGAAGAACCTTTTATTGAAGTTAGCAGTATAACAGTTCAGTAGAATACACACATGCACTCCTTATTTTCGGTCTTTAAAGTATTACTTGAAAATGCCAAATCCGTTTAAAATTACTTTCCTTAGGTAAATTTTTTTGGCTGTGGTTTAAGGAAGGCTCAATTCTTTCAAGTTGTGAGAAATAAGAGAGTGCTTCTTAGCAAACAGTATTCTATTAAAGAAGAAAGTAATTTTTAAAAAGGAGATGGACAAGTTAATTTATAATGATTCAAACTTACCCTGTTACTCTGGACCTATCTAATTATCATAATTTTATTTATGTGCATGACATTAAATTTACGTAAAGTAAAAATGAAAATATGACAAACTTAAGTGTTAGGGAGGAGATAGCAGATTGGTTATAAAAAGCAAGTGGTTTGCTAATCAGCTGTAAGTTTCAGGGTGGAATGTTAATAGAAGACACCTTTGATAATATGAAGAGGTGACATGAAAGAAAAATAGCAACTGTCTAGCAACTTAAAAGAAAGGCAGCTGTGTTTAGACTGTCACTGGGTTCCTATTGTACTGTAACCATGTGACTGCCATTTCACATTATGTAGAACTAAAATGTGGGAAGTTTTGAGGATGTTTTAAAACTATTTTGTAGAAATTTGTTATGTTGAAGGTAGGGAATATGTATGGTTCTAGCAGTTTGTCCAATACTCAAGAGATCATTTAAAAATTATTTCAAGTTTGTATCTTGCTAGAATGTTCCTTGGTTCATTTGGATGTAACTTAGAATATAGAGCAAAAGTTATTAAATACATGATACGTTCTGTATTTTCTTTTTCGGGATAGGGTCTCACTAGGTAGTTCAGGCTGGCCTTGAACTCACTGTGTAGTTCAGGATGGCCTTGAAATGTCAGTGATCTCCTGCCTTAGCCTCTCAAGTGCTGAGATTACAGGCATGCACCTCCATGTCCAGCTGATAACTTATATTGAAAGTACAGAATTTGCACCCTTAGGAATTTTGGTTGTTTTTGTTTGTTGTTTTGTTTTGTGAAACAGGAGATTGACTGCAGAGTCTGCACTGAGCTACATCCCCACTCTTATTTTTTATTTTGAGACAGGATCTCACTAAGTTGCTAAATTTTCCAGGCTGGGCTTGAACTTGTGATCCTTGTGCCTCAGCCTCTCAGGGTACTGGGAGTACATTTGTGTGAATCAATTTGAGACACATATAATGCTTACTTTTAGGCCCATTAAACATTTAAGGCCATTTTATTAACTTCAGGCCTTAAAAATATAGGTTTTTGTCCGTGTGTGTGTGTGTGTGTGTGTGTGTGTGTGTGTGCACGCGCGCGCGTGCGTATGTGCTTTCCTGAAAACTTTCAGGCTTTTTGGGAAGTAGCTCAAAATATGCAAATAGAAATAAATGAAAATAAAAGCAAAAGTTTTTATATTGTATATTATTAACTCAATGAAGGAAAAACTTCATTTCAGAAAAGCATATTGTCTGTTACAGTTCAATATGAATAAGAAGTTATGGTGTATTATTTCACATAGTAGGGTGTGCAGTGGATAATGTACCATATATTTCAGAAAGCTAGAAGAAAGGATTTTGAAGAAGAAAAAAATGTGTTTGAAGAGATAGATGTTTTTCTTGATTTAAACATTATACAGTGTATAGCTCTATCAGAAGTCACATGGTACCCCATAAATATGTACTATTTTTATGTCTATTAAGGAAGAAATACAAATTTTTTAAAAGTGTAGAAGGTAGTTCTCCCTTAAACATTTTACAAAACCACCTGAACATAAACTGTATAATGTTTGTCATATGTAGCTTTATTTATTCTGCCTTGTTCACAGTAAGCTCTGTTAGTTATCTTCATGGACATTGCTTTTCTCATGTTACCCTAAAAGAACTCATTTAGTTATATTTGCAGTGACTGGTAATAGTGTCATTTTAAGAGAATTTTACCTTCATTGTTTTAAAAACTGACAAGGAAGTATCTTATAGCAAGATTTTTTTTAAAGATTTTAAGAGTTGACAATACTAACTCAAAAACATAATCAGATATAAAAGATAGATGTCAGATTTTTTTCCATATGAGATTAAGGGATGCGATGAAGAGATGACAGTATTGAATAGTTTGAGGACTATATTTCTCAGCTCTGGGGAAAGCACCAAAAAGAAGAGTGAGACCTAGGGGTATACAGCTAAGTGGAAGAGCATGTGCTTAAGTAAATGCAGGAAACTCCAGGTGCAATTCCCAGCAACTTTCCCACCCCAAACCAGGGGTAAATATTAAGTGATGATTTCATTGGTTGTTTTGAATGTTTTTTCTGATCTCTTTTCTGTTATTTTAAACAGCCAACTGTTTCTGCCATGAAAATATTTTTGAGCAAATAAAGTGAATATAAACTAAAATATTAGGATAAATAGAATAAACTGCCAATGAAGTGACCATTTTTGGCAATTTTAACATTGATTTCACTGTGAATAGTTTTTTTTTTAAGTAATAATGAGAAACCATTTTTATGTGTGTTCAAAAAAATTTTTTTTTCACAAGTGAAATGATAACTTCATTATGTGGGCAACTGAAATGAAGAGACACTTGTCAGAAGAAGTACAATTGGGCAATAAATGGATGAAAAAATGCTTATCATTGTAGCCATCAAAGAAATACAGCTTAAATTGCACAATAATCTTACCCCAGAAAGAATAGCCATCGTCAAAAAATCTAATAATAACAAATATTCTCAAGGAGGTAGAGAAAAAGGAACTCTTCTGCCTGGTAACTGGGAATGTAAAATAATACAACCACTATGGAAATCTGTGGAGAGTCCTCAAAAACTAAAAATAGAGTTTCTATTTGATCAAGCTATCCCCCTTCTAGGTATCTTCCCAAAAGAGTTAAAATCATCATCTTTCAGGGATAGATGCATACCCATGTTTACAGCAGCACAGTTTATGATCGCTAGATCTTGGAAACAACGTATATGTCCATCAATAGATGAATGTATAGGGGAAAATGTGGTATTTATATACACAATGGAGGACTATGTCACCATAAAGAAAGATGAACTTGAGGCATTTGTGGATAGATACAACTTGAAAACAAAATATTAAGTGAAGTGAGTTAGACACACAAGCTTAAATATCACGTGGTTTCTCTTACGTGAAAAACACTGTATAAATACTACATAAACACATACAAAGAGCAAAATAGAAAAGAGATAAATAGGAAGTAGGGAGATGTTCAAGTAGTTCCCCAAGTTACATATTCCATTGTTTCAAAAATATTTTAATATATATGTTGTTTTATTTACACTACTAGTTTCTCTTAGTTCATTGAAAAGAAAGTTTTGTTGTATTGTCTGTTTCATTCTTTGTAAGAATCTTTTTGGTCTGTGTTTTACTTTTGAGTATTTTGAACACAATGATACACAGTGTATTAGCTATTATTCTCTTATTTTGTTATAAAATTTTATTTTTTTCATAAAATAAAAAAAACCTTCATTATGATCAGATGATCATTGGCCAGGGTTGTTTATTTAGTATCTTGAAATGAATTTTGAATAAATAGTATCTCAGGACTATTTATACATTTGTAACTTGTTTCTTAGCTTATGAACAATAGGTGAAGAAGACAGTCTTCAAAAGAAATTTTCAATATCTTGCCTTGTTTTTGATGCTTTTAAATATCTTTTTATTTTTTCATTGTTTCACCAGGGCGATGTATCATCTGTAGAGTACCTCTTGCAAAATGGAACTGACCCAAATGTTAAGGACAATGCTGGATGGACACCATTGGTAGTTTTCTTTTTTCTTTTTATGCTGGGGATGTTTGTTTTCTCTTCTCCTTCTCTCTCTGTTTATGGTTTTTACAGTTTATAGTTATGTGATTGTCCATATATCATCCTCTGCCACCCATACATTATAGTCTGATGAGTTTATCTTTTCACTGAATATGAGAAAAATAATTATTTTCCATTTAGCTTTTCAGTTGTGACAGGTAAGAAATTGGCTACTTTTTGGCTACCTTTAGATTTAGAATCCAGTTGCATTACATTGCTGATTTAGCTCAGGTACAAAGGTAACTTACTACAGTTGACATGAGGCTTTATTTGCAGTGTGCATGTTACTGGAACCCAATTTTGTGGAATAAATAGAAGTCAGAAGGATTGAGTATGGCATATGATCACAAGGGAGTGCTTCTTACTGAAGATCTGTTTTAGCTTATACCCTCTCTTATCTAAATTGCAAGTAGATTGAGGCAATAGAAAGCTTTTCTTACATTAAACATTTTTAAAACTTTGCTTTATATTGCTATAAATATAATATGAATATTCTGGGAGAAAACTGGCAAAAATACTTGGAAGCAAATGCTACATGGTCTAATTATATTAAGAAAATAAACATGAGGTTTGAAAGCAACCACAGAAGAATCAACAAATGAGGTGGAAGTGTATAACCTATAAGCTAGAACTTAGAAGATATTCATTAGACCAGGTACAGAAAAAGTATGAAGGAGTGTGTGTATGTGTGACTTCTCCTTGTCACGTTCTTAAGTATGGAGGGTTTTTCTGGATCAGCATCCCTGTATTTGGACACTGCAGGCTTACTAATCTTTCTCAATGATTAAACTTAGTTTTAAAGTCACTAAGGCAAATTGTAATAAAGGTTGATGAGTGATTTAGAAGGATCTGATGCCCACTTTGAATTCTTTTCTCCTAGAATAGACCTACAGATGATGAGCATGGTGTCACCTATTATGAATAGAAATAGATGTACCAAAAAGCACAGTATGCCAGAGATTTAGGAGAAATCAACATAGTGGCATTGGTGGAGTTCATTAGACACCAGAAAAGATTTGCATGTAAGGCATCTTTGAACATTCTGCTGTTGGCAGTTCTGTCATTCATTTATTAAGATCTTTTTGAATATGTACTCCCTGTTATTATTGTCATGGACATTTCCTTCATCTAGTACTTCATCCAGTAATCTCCTTTCACCAAAGAGAACTTGTTTGGTAATAAGCACATCTGGAATATCCACTCTGTTGGGTAGATAGGTGTTTGTGGTGGTCCACTATTTATGTATAACCTGATAGAGTGAAGAATTCAGGTTTTACACATGGTATGATTTTTTTTTTTTTTTTTTTTGGTACCGGGGATCAAACTCAGGACCTTGTGCTTGCGAGTCAGGCACCGGAACCAATGAGCTAAATCCCCGGCCCCACATGGTATGATTTTTAAATACTCTTTTCTTTTTTACTGTTTAATTGTGGGACAAACTTAGGAGTTATAATTGGACTAAAGCTACATTTTACAGAAAGCACGTTTGACCTAAGACTTCTTTTCCCATGAATTGCAGAAAGATTATTATTAGTGACTTTTACTCTGTCACTACATATGGCATATGGTCTGTGTGAATAGTATGTAGGTTAGAATAATTTACTGACTGTAGTTCTCATTTCTTTCTCTAAAGTGTGGTGTTATATTATCCTTTGGTCTTTCTTATTACACTTCCCTCTCTTAATTAGCATGAAGCCTGCAATCATGGGCACCTGAAGGTAGCAGAATTGCTGCTTCAGCATAAAGCCTTGGTGAACACCACCGGCTACCAAAATGACTCACCACTTCACGATGCCGCCAGGAATGGGCACTTGGATATAGTGAGGCTCTTGCTGTCCTGTGGAGCCTCCAGGAATGCTGTGTAAGTAGTCATCCTCTAACTAACCATTAAGTTCCATTCTGAAGGTCAGTATTTATACCCTTTTCCTGGAAGAAACGCAGGTATTTGGAGATTTGCTATGTTACTTCAGAAGCAGTTGTCAAATCCATTTTGGAAACTTTCATTTTATGTAAAAATTCATTTAGCTTTTGTAGTCTATAAATGGATTCCTACTTATAAAAATGTATAATTGACTTAATTATTTTTTATGCTACTTAATTCTTTAGAATTATTTTAAATATTCCATTCTTTCCTCATATTTAGCATAACAACAGTGAAAGTATATAAGAATTCAGATATGGGGCGAGTACAGCTGAATTATTTCCTCGATTTTTCACATTATTCAAATGAGGCTCTGAGTAAATTGTTTTGCAGTGTCAGGGCACAGAGGCACATTACTGAATGCTGGCGGCTGCATTTTAAAATTGCTGTTGTCAAGAGTATCACAAGCAAATGCTGTATGTAGATTTTATATCTTTAATCTGTAACTTGGCTCATGTCTCCCTATATATTATTTTACTCTTTTCAGTTAATTAGGTAGTTGAAATGAAAATGCAAGTATTGCCTCTCTGTACCCCCATTGCTTCTACAGACTGGGAAAAAGCACACAAAAGTCAGGCTTTTCCTGTGCAGAATCAAATAAGAATTAGAAAATGCAGCACTTCTAGGTTGTAACTTTTTAATAGGTAATCATTTATTATAATTAAAAATAAATTAATAATACAGGAATGTTCTAGACCTTGGTGCTATTAATTTCAGTACATGTGTCATCGCCTTTTTTTTTTTTTTTTTTTTTTTTTTGCAGTACTGGGGATCAAATTCAGGACCTTGTGCTTTCAAGGCAGGCGCGGTGCCACTGAGCTAAATCCCCGGCCTCCTTCATTTTCCATTACAAGTTATAAGATAGTTGTTATATATATAAGATATATATATATATGAATATAGTCTTTTATATTTTTCTGTGTGTGTTTGTATGTTTATACACATGAACATAACAGTATTTTGTAAGGACCTAACAGATATGACCCTCCTGTGGGTATAGTGAGCTTTTTGAAGAAACAAATGGTTGCTTGGCTCAGGTAAACCAAATAGCTTCCATCCTAGGGTTCCTAAATCAGCCATGACTCCTTTAGTGAGTGGAGCACTGGTCGGGTGTTAGGGAATCCAGTTTTTATTTGTGACTCCATTATTGATTTTATAGCCACAGGCAGGTTAATTTCTGTGCCTTGGTATCCTCACCTATAAAACATGGATGGCACCTGCTGCTTTTCTATTTCTTCAGAGCATAGTGAGGATTAATGAGCGAAAACACAGAGCCTGTCCTGTGGTTTGTACACCATGATTCTTACACTACACCGTGAGGGCTTCGGAATATACAAGGTGTGGGCCTGAGACAGTGAGTCTCCCTTCACATGTATTTTTCCAGAGAGATCAGGTAACTGCTTTGATTGGCTTTCTTGGGAAGATGACCGACTTAGGTGTCTCTGCATAGCCTAACACTGTCCAATAGATCTTTCTTCAGTGATGGAAATGTTTATGTCAGTGCTGGGCATTCAGTAGCCACTAGTCATCTGTAGCTATTGAACACTTGAAAACTGCTCTTCACTACTGAGAAATTAAATTCTAAAATGTATTTAAATGGCCCACTTGTGCCAGGTGACTCTTGTGTTGGACAGCTGGTTGATACCAATGAGGACAGTTGTGAAAGAGTGACAAAGAAGTTAGGATTACAGCTGGATAAGGATAGTAGGGCAGATGCAGATATAACTTTAGCCCTCAGGTATAACAGTGTGGTTGCTGTTTTTGAAAATTATTCTTTCTGACTGGTGGTTATCATCCTGAAATACTTTCCTCTTTTTTTTTCTTTTTGTTTTATCTTGTACTTTTTACCTGACTGGCTTTACCAGTTTCCTATTGGTCTCCTCTTTTGATTGCTTTTCTTTAATTCATTTCATATATGCAACCTCAATATTTTCAAAAAAATCATAGGTCTGGCCAACTAATGTTTTTTACGTAAGCCTTCGGTGGCTTCCTCATAATGTATTTAAAATTACTTCAAACTCCATAACATGATTTTTAATGCCCTCAAAGGTTTGGGGTGCTACTTTCTTTTCAGCTTCATCTCTCCACAGTTCCTCCATGCCTCTTTCCTTCAAGCATTTTTTATTTTGTATTATCCTTTCTGAATTTTTATTTTCTTCAAATGTGCCAGGCTGTTTTACTTCCTAGCCTTAATACATGACTTTCACATTGTCTAAGAGTCCAAGAGTTCAAGAGGAAAGATTGCTTTAATTTTGGAGAATGAGGAGAAATTTCATATCATTCAGTATTTGTTGTCTGGGAATTTTTATACTGGAAATTGTTTTAAGACCTCTGTATCACTCAGTGCTTACTAGAGAAACAGATTTAACGCAAGATATACAAATAGAATATATAAGATTGGCTTAGAATGGGCCCCTGCAGTCAGGTTTGGAAGAGTACAAAAGGGCTGTTTGTGCCCTGGAAAACTAAGGATCCAGTTGTGGGCCTAGAGCTCACTCTAGTGTCCCATGCGAGTCCATACCAGGAGGCCGAAGGGTCTGAGATGGAAGCCTGAACGGTCTACAGAAGGCTGAAGGGTCTGCATTGGAGGCTGAAAAGTAAATGCTGGAAGTCAGGAGACAACATCCAAATTAAGGTGAAAATTGGAGCTCCTCCAAAGAAACAGAAGCGAGCCTTCCTTCTGTCTTCCATTTATTGCTGTCACTCATACCCAGGGTGGGTCTTCTGTCTTCAGTAAATCCCTTCAGCCGCACCCAGAACTATGCTGATCCTATTTAGTTGGGTGTTTCTTGCTCAAGTTGGCACAATCAGTTAACTATCACAACCTATTTGGCCTTCCATCTTCCACTCTGCCTTCTGAACATCCTAGTGTGAACCTAGGATGAAAGTTCTTGTTGTCACTTTAGAACCATTTGTAATATGTGGAGAATATTAGTGTGTGTGTGTGTGTGTGTGTGTAACAGATAATGTGAATGTAGGATGTGATGCTGTGCTGTAAACAGACTTTTTCTTGAAAGGATGAATTCTGAAGTAGAAGATATTATATGGACCGTTGGACTTATTAATTATCTTCTTGCCCTAGTTAGTATCTTTAAAAAAAAAAAAGAATTACCTACAAGGATAATTTATGTTTTAAAGCTTTAAAAACCATGTTGCTCTTTTGAATGATTGTGCTTTTTCCTGTTCAAAGGAAACAAAGTGACTTGAAAAATTAAATCTTTGTGTTTGCAGTTTTGTAGTTGTTCATAAAGGATTTCATTCATGGTCTGTCGTGACATCCTGTCAGGCATGATAGGTTTGGCATTAGTAAAAATGACTTGCATATATTTTTGCATATTGGATGATCTTACATGCAAGTACAGGTTTAAATTTGCCCACCACTCCCTCTCATATTTCCTAGTGCTGTAGCTCATTCACAGCTCAGTTGTAGGTAGGCATCTACCATGTCCTTGCTGTACGGAAAAGGATGGTAAGTGGTTTCACTGTATTTTGAACTCTGCCTTTTGCCTGAAACATTAAACACTGGAGCTTAACCCTTTGCTGAGTCATCAAGCTTGGTGATCAGAAAGAATCCTGGTTAGGAAAATGATTTTCCTGTTTGTCTAGTTCAGACTCTTTAATCTTCAGATTGTACCAGACAGGAAAATGAAAATGACTGTTATTTTTAACGTTGAAAAACCATAATCCTGTACTTTCTAATTATTTGAATTGTCATTACAAGAGCTTGCAAAAATATATTATAAAATTGGGGAAAATGATGTTAAGAGGCTAACACTAGGACATAATTTACTATGTTTTCTTATTTTTATTTTGTATCTGTCTCCTAATAATGCAAATCTAGCAATATTAATAGCAGTCACCACGCTGGTACTATCTGCCAGGTACTGTTTTAAGCACTTCTAATGTGTTCCTCTAGTCCTAGTAGTAATCTTAAAAGGTAGGTTGCCTTATTCTCATTTTTACATATGAGGAAGCAGGCAAAATAGGTTTTAATTAATTTATCTAAAGTCACGCACATCTGATTTTAGATAAATTAGCTGAAATTTAAATTCAGGCATTTGGATTCTGTAAGCACCTCTCTCTCTTTTTCTCTTTCTCTTTTTCTCTTTCTCTTTCTCTTTCTCTTTCTCTTTCTCTTTCTCTTTCTCTTCCTCTTCCTCTTCCTCTTCCTCTTCCTCTTTCTCTTTCTCTTTCTTTCTCTTTCTCTTTCTCTTTCTCTTTCTCTTTCTCTTTTCCTTTTGGTTGTACTGAAGATTGAACACAGGGCCCTTGCACTGAGCTGTATCCCCAGGCCCTTTTAATTTTGAGATAGGGTCTTGCTCAATTCCTTGGTCTAGGCTTGAATTTGAGATGCTCCTGACTCAGCCTCCCAAAGTACCCAGATTACAGGCATGCACCACTATCCCTGGCTTGTAAGCTTGTCTCTTAACCGCATGCCTGGTTGGTGCTATCTTTGGTATTATAGCTATTTCTGGATATGTTCAGGGTTTCTTCTTAGCTTGAAAGGAAGACCGAACCCTTAACACTACTCCTTTGTTCTTACGTAATCTGGCCAGTTCATAATTTCAGAACAACCAATTCCCTGTGGTGTACTTTTTTAAAAAGTCAGTATTTCTGATTTGCCATGCGTCTGCACTCAGAGGCCTTCACACACTTGTCTGTCTCTTTCCTTTTCCAGAAAGCTCTGGGAAGCTTCACTAGATTTCAGTCCTCCTTATGTGCATCTTTCTGTTTTTCGCACCATGCTCCATGAAGACAGAAACAACTTTTTATGACATAGGTTCATTAGTACCTAAAAGAATTCTTTGTACATTAAGAAAACAGGGACTTAGTGAATGAGTTAATAGTCATCAAACTGATTACAAAGCAGTGTTTCCTCTGTGTGTACAAACAGGTATACTCATTTTCTGTCTATCAAATAAACGCTTGTTGCTAGTAGTAAAATATGTATCTTATGTGTATGTATGTTACACATATATCTGCTTTTATATAGACACTACTGCGAATGTTTATCAGTAGCAATGACCCTCCACTATTCCTTACTCATAAGTAGTATCTTTTGAACACTTAGATCTCTTGTCAAGGTTTTAAAATTTAAAATGTTTCTTTAAAGGTTTTATAGGAAACATTTTCTGAACTATGATTTAAAATCACAGCAAAAGAAATATGGCAGTAATATATTAGGAAAAAAAAAACTTCACAAAATCTGCCAGTGTACTGTGTTGTAAAGGAATAGGGGAAAAAATGGAATTAAAGAGTATCCTCTTGGTCAAAGATCATGTAAAATGCTTCAGTAACCAGAAACAAAATAATTCTGGGGATTTACTGTATATAAAGTATATTATTTATATATAATCATGTAAAAATTCACTGAATTGTAGGTGACTGTCTTTGATAGGGCATCAAAGAACTAAACTGTCAAAAGTAGAACATGTGAAAGTTAATACATTCTCGTGAACTGCATGTAAAGTTAGCAGTTAAGATGTTGACATTTTCCTGTATCCTGAGAATCTTTAAATATATTGGTGTTACATTGACCTATGTAGTTGAACTAGTAGACACATGTGCCTGTGGATTTTCACAGCTGCATTCTGTCTTTACCTCTAGCTCTAGTGTATATTGCCTTATGCTGACTTTTATTGTTTCTCTTATTGTATTTGCCCCCTACACTTGAACACATAGTGATTCAACTCTTTAGCTTGATAGAACTTCCATCAGATCCATACATTTCAGCAATGTAGAGATTCCTTACTCAGGCTTTTCACATTCATCTCAGTATTCCAGTTTCTAGTCCCGGGCTCCAGGCCATTTTATTTGCCAGTGTGTGTTACTCACCTTCTTGGAAATCTGTCCACGTTTCATCTTACTACTTTGGTTTAGACTTATCTGTTTGATACTTACTATTGAATGAGAATTTGTCCTCATTAAGGTCATAGGGAAGGACATTGTTTTCTTTCTTAACATAGCTTTCCAGAATATGTAATGTGAGTGTTAAGGCTGTAGGTTTAATGCCAGAAAATAAGAGCACATATTATAATTATATTTCTAAAAAATCATTCTGTAATCTTCCTTTGTAACCCATTCTAATAAAATAGCAAATTGTTGATATCTATCTTGAGTTCATGCTGTTGCAGTAGACCTTTTTTTTTTTTTTTTTTTGAGACAGGGTCTCACTGTGTAGTTCAGCTTTCTGCCTCAGCTTCTTGAGTATTGGGATTACAAGTGTGTATCACTTTCGCCAATTATGTTGCAATAAATCTTTTTTTTTTTAACAAAACCTAATATAGTGATGGAGAATAACTGATTTATCACTGTCTGCAGTTAACCATCACATTGGTTTGTTTGGTTTTTTTGGTACTGGGGATCAAACTCGGCACCTTGTGCTTGCGAGGCAGGTGGCAGAACCGCTGAGCTAAATCCCCGGCTCAAACCATAACATTGGTAGTGCCTGATATTTGTGACATGTGACTTGTCGTTGTCCTTCTTTAGTACTTGCAGTATCTATTTTTTGCAAAGGAAATAAACCTAATTCTGTGCATTTTGAATTGATTCCAGTGTAACATTATATGAAGAAAGCACACCTTTCTTGTGGCCAAATAATGAAGAGATCTTACACATGCGCCATCTATTGCTATGGTTTTTCTACGTATAAACTGTGTCTGATTCCACAGTTGAGTGGTTGTCAACAAAGCAGAAGCAGCGTGACAGGATTCAGTTGGTTCCTTCTCCCATGATGTGGGACTGGTTTAACTGATTATCTTTCATCTGTAGCATTTGTAACATATCATTCTTCGGTTTGCTAGCAGTACAGGAGAGCTAAAGCAACTTTTGTATAAGCAGAAGCCACCCATAATCTGTGTGGAGAAACTACATGCTTTAAGGGTGTAGGAGATAGTAAGTTTTGTGTAGTAAGGGTCCTACATGTAAACAGAAATCCTGTCAGTCATTTTACAAAGCAGAAGGCAAAAGCTCCTGACTGGTTCAGATAATTGTTTTATTATTTTTTTGGTTTAAAGTGCTGAGTAGCTGATGGTGGTACTTTGAGAAGCATTTTGACTTAATGGTTTTTCATGTTGTTATGAACTTCTACTTATTTATATAGAATAACTATCCTGATGTCATCCAGTTACTGTGTATTAAAAATGCACTTGATTGGAATTTTCTTTCTTTGAGGCATAAAATCAGTTTGTGAAAATGTCCTATGTGTTTAGTGACCTTTTTGTTGTTGTTGTCCATGTTTGCACTTGATGGTTTAAAAACTAGAATATTGGTTCTTTAACTCAGATTTCTGGTTTTGGATTTTCATATGTATAGCATATATGTGTGAGGAAATTGTGTACTGGTATGTGAGCATAATTTAGATTGTGAAATTGGGAAGTATCAAATAAGGTGGATGAGATTCTTCAGAAATATTCCAAGTTTGTCTGCTCTCGATGTGAACAGTGACTTGTGTAACTTTGTGGTAAAGTAGGAAGCAAAAATACAATCGTTTGCATTTTTTTTTGGCTGGAGGACTTTCCCAAAATGGTGTTGAGCTGGGGATAAAGTGGAATCTGAGAATACATACAAACTTCTCAGTATTTATCCAGCACTGTCCAAAAAAGGAGTAACTGAACCTGATGATTATGAATAACAGTCAATAGAAACACATTTTGTTGTGGCCCATTTCTTACCTTAATCCACTGGCTTTTTTCCCACTGTGCCATCAAAGTGATAGCCATTGATGACCTTGTCTCTAAACTTCGTAGCGGCTTTACATCCTTCATGTATGTGACCTCTGTGCAGTATCAAACAATTGACACTTTCCCTCTTTTCCTAATGTATCACATTTCCTTCTGGACCTCTTTCTACATACTCATTAGTTTATAAAATCCATATTGTACCATGTTTATTGTTTATATCCTGTTTAACACATTGCATTTTTCATGTGAACTTTTATTTGTTATACTGTAGATGGAAGGAACCCAGGGCTTTGGCAAATGATCTCCCTGAACTACATCCCCAGCCCTGTTGAACTGTAATGATATCTATCTATCTATGTATCCATCTATCACATTTTATATTTATATCATAATGTTGAAAAACCATAAAAGATTATAAGTAGATGTTCATTTTTAAAACTTACTGCCATAGTATACTATGTTAAAATAATATATTGAAGCCATATACAGTCATACATACGTTGGTGTTCAACTGGTTTGAAACTCATTGAATTTGGTATGTAACATGCAAGCCAGAACTTGTTGGTGTGGATTCCCTCATGACTTACTACGTTTTCCAGCCAAAACAGTTTATTTGGTACTCTTTGTGCCTTCCAGAAGCAATTATCAGTGAATACTGAGCTACTACTGTATAAGTCAGTACAACAGTAGATAAAGTCTTGTAGTTTTAACAAGTTACTTATAACTGGAAGACTGCGTATGAACAATATTGAATATTAATGGAACAAACAAGGAAAATGTGATCTTAGTCAAGTTATTGGAGCCTGCTCCTTTCTGTTTTTCTTGTCTATAAAGCATTGGGGTTATACGATGGCTGGGTTATTGTAGATTATACATACACATTGAAATTAGTTTTTAAAATGCCCCCTGTTATTTTAATGTTTATCATGTGGTAGTTTTCTTTCTAATGGATCTAAATGCCTGTGCTATGAATTTATCTAATCTAGTATTGTTTATATGGACTATAAAGCCTGTAATAGCTATAGAAGATGACTTATATTTCCATGTGAAAACATCCCACCCATAATGGTTAATGATTAAGAAGTTGTATTTTGAAATAGGAATACAGAATGCACAATTGTGAAAAATTCATATGTAGATTACAGTATATTTAATTAAAAATACTCTATAGTGATCTAATGTTAAATTGAAATTTCATATCTTTTCTCTGTTGAATTCAGCAACTTTTGATATTCAGTCCTTATGTCTAATGTGAGTTCTGAATCATTTATTGTAGTTAAAGTTTTGTGTCATTAAGGGTGTTGAAAAAGCTGTTCCACCAGTACATTCATTTTGGTGAGAATCAAGTCACATTTTATTTACTTAAACCCATCTGCACTTATTTTATCAGTAACATATTTGGTCTGCGGCCTGTGGATTGTACAGACAGTGAAAATATGAAATCATTATTGCTGCTACCAGAGAAGAATGAATCATTCTCAACTAGCCATTGTTCAGTAGTAAGTATGGATTTTGCAATGGGACATTTATATCTTTTATTGAAATTGGTTGTGAAAGAAACATAATGAAAAAATTTCCAGTTAGCAAATTGCTTTCATTCACCAAACAATTATTGAGTACTTCCTGAGTATTAGCTACTGTAGATTCAAAGGCATAATCAGAATAAGACTATCAAGAAATACTTATTGAACCCTCTCTATATTTTAGGCAGCATTCATACAATGAATATGACTGATAGAACTCTTACTTCAAGGACTTTACTTGCTAGTGAGAAGTAAAAGAAAGATACCTACACTAATATAAATAAAATAACTTAAGAAGCTTGTGTGTATTTGAAGGTTGTGTGGAGCATAACTGGGTAGAGGTAGTGGGCTTCTGAAAGGGCACTCCTTTTTCTAGGGCTGTTGAGGGCCTTCAAACAACTGATTTTAATTCAAACCTGAATGCTAACCAAGGTTAGTGGTGCATGCTTATAATCCCAGGTCTCGGAGGCTGAGGCAAGAGGCTCACAAGTTTAAGCCAGCCTGAGAAACTTAGCAAGACCCTCTCTCAAAATTAAAAGTAAAGAATAGGGGCTGGGGACTTAGCTCAGTGGTTCCGCCGCCTGCCTCGAAAGCTCAAGATCCTGAGTTCTATCCCTGGTAGCCCCCCCCCCCCCGAAAAAAAGTAAAGAAAGAGGCTGGAGGTACAGATGTACCTCAATGTGAAGGCTCCAGGTTCAATTACCAGTACTGCAAAAAACCCCAACCAAACAAAAACATAGTGGTGAGGAGGAGGCAGCAAGGTAACAGTCTGACAGACAGTATATAGGCCCTTATTTGATGAGCCCAGCATGTTTGAAGGTTGGAAGGAACCTGGAGACCACTGAATATCTAAGAATAGTGGGAAGCTGTTGAAAGGACTAAAAACTCTAGAAAGTCATGCTTGGATTTTTGCTTTAGAGTTCACCCTGGCTGTTTATAAAAGAGAGACTGTATGGCAAGAGTAGAAGCAGAGAGATCACTTAGGACTGTTTGTTGTGGCAGGAGAAGGATACCACCGTGGCCTGGGTTAAGGGAATGGCAGTGGAGATTATAAGTCAGGAAGTTTAGTATATACATTTGGGTTAATGCCAGTAGGGCTTTCTGATAGGTTATATATGAAGTGTGGGAAGAGTGGAATTAGCATGTGATGCCATTGCTGCCATGGGGAGGGGAATCAATATCCAGTTTGCCTTTGCCAATTTTATGTCCGCAAGACATGGACTGGAGAAATTGAATTAGTTGGTTATGTAAGTCTGGAGCTTAGGAGAGAGGCACAAGGAGAAGTGAAAAGCATGGCTTTTCCTTATCCCCTACCTTATTGGGGAATATAGATGTAAAAATTTTACTACACATTATAATAAATTCATAATAGAAACTGCTAAAATGTTCAGTAGAATCACAGAAGGAAGCTAACTTCAGGCAGGGTCAGGAGAAGCATGACAGAATTTGTCTTAAGTCTTAAGGGTAAGATTTTTATTAGGGTGTATGATAGAATGTTTTGGCTGCAAATAACAAAAATATTCTCAAATTCTTAAAGACAATTTATTGTTATTATTATTACTATTTTTTTTTTTTTTTGTACCGGGGATCGTACTCGGGTCCTTTTGCTTGCACAGCAGGCAGCAAAACCACTGAGCTAAATCCCTGGCCCGACAATTTATTATTTTAAAGATACTTCTAATATAGGAGAGCTCTTCATCTAGGACCCTGATTCTTTCTGCCTATTTACTTTGCCATCCTCAATTGGGCAGATGTGTCCTTACCAATCTCTCTTGGTGGTTATGAGATGATGGCCACTTTTCTAGATGTGATAGTGGCCAGCTGAAAGAGAGGCATTAAAGTCTTTTCCAGGAACCTTGCTGAGGACCCTGTGTCTTATTAGTGAGAACTGATCACAAATTGGTTTTGACGTACCCTAGGGTAAGAGGGGTAAGAGAGAGGATCAGTCTTTGAGGCAGTGCCAGACAGAATTGACCTTCTATTAGTGTGAAGAAAACGAAGAATGGATTTTGTATGAACAACCGACATTACCCACTGTTCCACACAAGGGGAAGGCAGTCACTAGCTAAGGATCTCAGAACTTTGAGGCTCTCTAGAGTTCAATGCAAGAGGAGCATAGGTATATTAAAGTGGAATTCAGGGTGAAGAACTAGGCTGGGATCGACTTGTGAAAGTCTAGAATTCCCTGATAGAGATCAGGCAATTTAGACTTAATGAGGACACCTGGTCAGGAGACTAGTTGGGAGTCAGAAGAGACAGGCTGACCAAGAGGCTGCTGCATTTCCATGAGTGAAACATTAAGGCCTGGAATTATATGTGGTGGTAGTAATGTGAGAATGGAGAGAGAAGAGGGGTTTGAGAGACATACACACAGAGATAGAGTTAGAGAGAGAGGTAGAGCAAGGAGGAGGGGAGAGATGGTGGACTCTTTGGTAGATTAGTGATTGCTCAGATGGTGCAAAGAGATGAGCTTAGAGCTAGGGCCATTCTGCGGAGACTTTGCTATCCAGGAAGGATGGTGGGTAGTGCATGATATCATTGTTTTAAGTTATGAAGGGAGCCTGAGGGAGTTACAACTTGATATGGTCATGGGTTACTTACCTTTATTCCAAAAACTGCTTATCTTCTGCTTCAGCCTTTAGCCTTATAAGTGTGCTCCAAATTAAAGTTTTGGAAATGAACTGCAAGAGAACCTAGAAGTCAGCAGTTTAATTCCCTCCTTTTACAAATGAGAAAACTGAGACCTAGAAAGGTTGTGCTTTGCCCAGGGTTATTAGCCAGACATTAAAAAAAATTATTTTAATGGACCAGTTAGAACTCAGATTTCTTAAGTCTTTGGTCAGTTCGTATTCAGTACTGCCATACTTAATATCTGTAAACTCATACTTACTTTATTCATTTGTACTTGGACTCTCCTGGCAGAATATAGCATATCTAAGTTGTCATTTGCCAGTGTTCCTTGTATGTAGAAGCTGGAGAAAGGTTATTTTAAATGTGTCAGAAATAAAGATATCTTCATTGTAATTTTGGAGTCTGAGGATTTCAGTGCCCTTCAAAAAAAGAAGGATTTGTATCATCAATTGTCAGAAACGTAAGACTTTCTACGTGTCATATGGATGTGGCCTGTGAGTATTGTTATTTACTGTCATAATGGTTGATGCATAGCTAAGAAAAGCTAATGAAAGGTAACCAGTCTTTGTAAGTTGAAGGGTTGTTTCTGTATGTGCTGTCCTTAACATGTGAGCTCTGGGATCTGCTTCCCCCAGCCACTCCCAGACTGCCCCACATGGGTGGCCTGGCTGGATTTTTTTTTTTTTTTTTTT